TTTGCAGTACGTGGGCCTCTCACTGTTGTGGCCTCTCCTGTTGTGGAGCACAGGCTCCGGACGCACAGGCCCAGCAGCCATGGCTCACGGGCCCAGCTGCTCCATGGCATGTGGGATCTTTCCGGACCGGGGTACGAACCCGTGTCCCCTGCATCGGCAGGCGGACTCTCAACCACTGCGTCACCAGGGAAGCCCTCTGACAAATTTTTTAGTGGAGTCTAGGGTTTTCTATATATATCATGTCATCTGCCAATAGGACAGTTTTACTTCTTCCTTTCCAATTTGGATGCTTTTTAATTTCTTTTTCTTGCCTAAATGCTCTAGCTAGGACTTCCAATACTATGTTGAATAAAAGTGGTGAGAGTGGGCATCCTTGTCTTGTTCCTGATCTTAGAAGAAAGCTTTTAGCTTTCACCACTGAGTATGATGTTAACTGTGAGCTTATCACATATGGTCTTTATTATGTTGAGGTACACCCCCTCTACATCCACTTTGTTGGGAAGGTTTTTGTTTTTATCATAAATGGATGTTGAATTTTGTCAAATGCTTTTTCTGCATCTATTGAGGTGATCATATGATCACAGTCTAGTGGGTTTTTTTGTTTGTTTGTTTTTCGTTTTTGGCTACACCACGCGGTTTGCGGGATCTTAGTTCCCCAACCAGGGATAGAACGTGGGCCCCCTGCAGTGGAAGCGCGGAGTCCTAACCACTGGACCGCCAGGGAATTCCCAAATAGCTCTCTAGTTTTAAATATTTATCTATTTATTTATTTATCGTTGCGGTTCGCGGACTTCTCACTGCGGTAGCTTCTCTTGTTGTGGAGAGCCAGCTCTAGGCGATCGGGCTTCAGTAGTTGTGGTGCTCAGGCTTAGTTGCTCCGCGCATGTGAGATCTTCTTGGACCAGGGCTCGAGCCCATGTCTCCTGCATTGGCAGGCAGATTCTTAACCTCTGCACCACCAGGGAAGTCCCTAGTATTTAATTTTTATTGTAGCCATTCTAGTAGGTGTGAAATGGTACCTCATTGTGCTTTTGATTTGCATGTCCCTAATAGCTAATAATGTTGAGTGTTTTTTCATGTACTTGTCCATTTGCATATCTTCTTTAGAGAACTGTCTATCCAAGTCTTTTGCCCATTTCTGTTTGTCTTTTTTCCTTTTAGTTTTGTTGAGATATGATTGACATACAGCATGATATAAGTTTAAGGTGTACAGCATAATGATTTGACTTACAAACATCATGAAATGATTATCACAGTAAGTTTAGTGAACATCTATCATCTTGTATAGATACAAAAAAATTAAAGAAATAGAAAAAAAGTTTTCTCGTGATGAGAACTTTTAGGATTTACTCTCTTAACAACTTTCATATATAATATAGAGCAGTGTTAATTATATTAATCACATTGTACATTACATTCTTAGTACTTATTTATTTATCTTATAACTGGAAATCTGTGCCTTTTGACCACCTTCATTCAAATTCCCCTGCCCTCCCCCTATCTCTGGTAACCACAAATCTAATCTCTTTTTCTATGAGTTTGTTTGTTTGTTTTTTTGAAGTATAACTGACCTACAAAACTATGTTGGTTCCTGATGCCCAACGTAGTGATTCGATATTTCTATACCTTACAAAATTATCACCACTTTTTTGCCCATTTAAAAGATTGGGTTGTTTGTTTTTTGTTGTTGTTGATTTGTAGGAGTTCCTTATATATTTTGGATATTAATCCTTTACAGATATGTGAATTGCAAATATTTTCTCCCATTCTGTGGCTTATCTTTTCACTCTTTTTTTTTTTTTTTGCAGTACGCGGGCCTGTCACTGTTGTGGCCTCTCCCGTTGCGGAGCACAGGCTCCAGACGCACAGGCTCAGCGGCCATGGCTCACGGGCCCAGCCGCAACGCGGCATGTGGGATCTTCCCGGACCGGGGCATGAACCCGTGTCCCCTGCATTGGCAGGTGGACTCTCAACCACTGTGCCACCAGGGAAGCCCCTTTTCACTCTTTTGATAGTTCCCTTTTGATGGGACCTGGGCTTTTTGCAGGTAACCCAAGCACTTCTGGGGGGCTTATCTTCCGCTAGCTATGGATGAACAAATCAGAACATTGTGAGAGGTCAGATGTTCTCTACCTTTTGAGGATAGGACATGAGGGATCCCCCTTCACCCATCTGGGTTTGGCCTACAAGGCTGGGTCCCTTCCTCTCTGTTCCCTTCAAGTGTTCCAAGACGTGAATCATACAGGAAAGAAGTAAGAATAGTGAACTGAGCCTAGTCTCAGGACTCAAGAAACCAGGGCTTACTGACGCATACTACAACATGGATGAACTTTGAAAATATCATGCTAAGTGAAGAAGCCAGTCACAAAAGACCATTTATTGTATAATTGCATTTATATGGAACGCCCAGAGTAGGCAAATCTGTACACACAGAAAGTAGATTAGTAGTTTTCTAGCGCTAGCGGGGCACGGAAGGTGGGTTAGGGGGAGATGGGGAGTGACTGCTGAGGGGTATGGGTTTCTTTACTGGGTGATGAGAAGATTCTAAGATTGATTGTGGTGTGATAGCACAACGCTGTGATATACTAAAAGCCACTGGATCGTATACTTTAAGGAGGTGAATTATATGGTCTATGAATTATATCTCTATAAAGCTGTTAGTTAAAAAGAAAAGAAAAGCAAAGAAACAAAGACTCCTCAGTGACCTCCACCCTCTTCCCTCTGCCTCAGAATGCTGGTAACTTGTTCACTTGATGGGGAAGCGCAGCCGTGCCTGGACATGCTCGCAGGGGGCAGGCTTCATGGTCAGCCCGTAGGTAGGGGTTAGGTCCACTTTCACACCTGGTGGCACGCTGAACTCCAGCTGTTGAAGCAAGATGGCCAGGAAGAGGAAGATCTCCCACCTGGCCAGGACCTCCCCTATGCACCGGCGCTTGCCCATGCCGAAGAGCATCATTTTCTCACTCAAGGCCTTGCTGATGGTGGTGTCATGGGCAGTGAGGAATCTCTCCGGCCGGAACTCAGATGGGTCCCCCCACAGCTTCCTGCGAGATGAACAGAGGAAGTGGTATCTCTGGGCTGGGGAGGCCCTTCGGGAAAGGCCTGGGCGGGGGACATCTGTGTCAGAATAGATCTAGCGCAATGAAAGGAGAGTGGGGAAAGGGGCCAAACTGTATTTTGATGTTTATTTCTTTTACATAGCTCTCTCTAAAATCACCAGCCTTGAAAATAGTGCTTTTTAATATTAATTATTTATTTATTTTATTATTATTATTATTTTTTGCTGTACGCGGGTCGCTCACTGTTGTGGCCTCTCCCGCTGCGGAGCACAGGCTCCGGACACGCAGGCTCAGTGGCCATGGCTCACGGGCCCAGCCGCTCCGCGGCATGTGGGATCTTCCCGGACCGGGACACGAGCCCGTGTCCCCTGCATCGGCAGGCGGACTCTCAACCAATGCGCCACCAGGGAAGCCCTAATATTAATTTTTTATTTTAAAGAAATAATACTTTAACTAAAAGAAATTCAAAGAAGGAACACATGTCCGTCTCTATCCTACTCAATATACAAGGGGAATCAACCGTCCATCCTGGTTTATGCTTATTGTTTTGGAGTAATTATTTACAGCACCCTTTTTCACACGCAGAAGTGCCCTAGTTTGGATAATAAATTATATGATCCTTCTACCTATAAAGTGAGATTTTCCAAAGAGGTCCCTAAGCCATTCACATCAGAATCGCCTGAGATACTCCACCTTACCTACCGAAGAGGAATCTCGGGGGACTGGGCACCGAAATCTAAAACCAACTTCCTGGTCAATGCACTAAAGTTTGAGAAACATGGACCTAAATTTTGTCCGTTAGAGCAGGCTGCAGAGCCATTGAGGCACCATTCCCTTATTGTATAACCAGTTCCTAGGGGGACAAGCAGCCTTCCTGACTGCTGAACTTCACACATTTTTCAGTGGGGGATATGTACTCACGGGTCATGATTGACCTGCCACTGGTTTATGAAGACACAGCGTTCCTTGGGGATGTAGAAGCCATTCAGTGTTGTGTCCCTTATTGTGCTAAGGAGGGAAGAGGGCTCTGTCAGGCTCAGGGGCTGGAAAACTGGGGTGTGTCTCTGGGAGGTTGTTCTTTTTTCTTTTTAACAATTAAAAAAAAAGTTGACTATAGTTAATTTACAATGTTGTGTTAGTTTCAGATGTACAGCAAAGTGATTCAGCCATATATATACCTATATATTCTTTTTCAGGATTTTTCCATTATAGGTTATTACAAGATATCGAATATAGTTCCCTGTGCTATACAGTAGGTTTTTGTTGTTTATCTAATTTATATATAGTAGTTGTGTATATATTAATTCCAAACTCCTGATTTATACCCCCCCGCAGAGGTTCTTGCTCCTTCACCCCACTCCAATAGCCTGTCCACCATGGTTTCTGTACTGTACACGAGGAGGGAATAGCAGGGCAAGGAAGGGCTGAAATTATTCTTCCCCTTTCTCAGATCCTGTTCTTCAACAAAGGTTTACTAAACTTTTCTCTGTACCCAGCTGTGCCCTTGGCCATTCTCTGGAGCCAAGAAGCAGGCAGTCTGGACCAGTCCTGGGGAGTTCCCAGCTTGGCTGAGGCATCAGGCCTCTTCCTCTGGGTATAACTAGACCAAAATATGGGCTGAAGTAAGTGTTCACTAACTCTCTTGACATTGTTAAAATCCCAGGACCTAATCAAGGACCAATGGCTGTAAGTCCTACAAAATATCAGAATGAAGTTATGCCAACTGGATGAATCAAGAAAGGCTTCTAGGGGAGGGGAAGTTTGTGTCAGGATAAGGTAGGATAGGATTCTGGTAGCCAGAGAAGACTGTAGACCTTCCAAGCAGAAGGTCCAGCATAAGCAAAATTGGAGGCTGGCTGGTTCGTGCTTGTAAGGGATGGTGAGGCCAGCCTGGCAGGGTTGAGAGTACCTGTAGGGAGGGAATGTGAGCAGAGGTGAATGAGAGCTGAGGTCAGAAATGTGGTTTTTCTCCTGAGAGCCAGGTACTCTGATCATGTTTGGACTGGATGGGGGCAGAGTAGAGGCCAAGGTCTGTGAGGAATCTGGTGTCATGGCCAGGAAGGAGATGCTGAGGTCTGACCAGGGCCAGGGCTGAGAAGCTGGGGAGAAAACATGGCAATGATTTCAGAGGTGGGAGGGCAGAATAGGCAGGGCTCACCTGTGGGGGATGGTGAAGGGGACGAAGGAGGAGTGTCGGAAGGTCTCCAGGATGAAGGCCTCCAAATAAGGCAGCTGGGATCTGTCGGAGAGCCGGGGCCGTCGCGCCCTGCCAATCACTGTGTCTGCAGAACACAGAGGACGGACAAAGCTTAGGGGTTGTCCTGACTGCTCCATGGCATCTGCATCCCCAATCATACCAGGTGTCCCTCTATGTGGTACTATGTCTGTTTACAGGTCTGAGACCCACTGACCCCCCCAGTATCCTCTAGGCAAGGGTGGGCACCATTGTATGCCCAGGGCTTGTACTTAGTAGGTACATAACAGCTATATGTGGATTGAACGGATGACCTGGGACCCCAAGGCTTCTCTCCACCAGAGGGTTAGGGGACACTACATACCCAGCTCCTCCTGGATCTTCCTCTGTATCTCAGGATTTGTCACAAGGTACAGAAGGCTCCAGGAGATGGCTGTTGTGATCGGATCAAACCCTGGGCAGCATGGGGCAAGGTGAGGAAGAAAGCAAGACAGGAACAAGAAGGCAGCATTTACCAAGCACCCACCGTGTATGTAGCAAACATTGTCTTTCTCTGCCTCCTTTTCCCCCAAAGCCCCTCACCCTGAATTTTCTAAGGGCAGAGGTGGAGTCAGCTCAGCACAAACTTGAGTCACTGCTTTCATGATTAGTTGCTAGAATTACAAGGGCCTAGACTTACAGCCCAGAGAAGCCTTTATTGTTTAGTTGGGGAAACTGAGGCCCAGAGGAGGAGAGGGACTTGGCTGAGTTTTCACTGGGAGTTGGTGGTAGAGCCTGGGCTCAAACCTTGAGCCTTGGCCTGGTCTCTGTGTCCTACACCATCTGACATGTAGTTGGTGAGTTATCTGATGGTCCCCGGGGCTGGGCAAGGCTGTGTGTGAACAGCAGGCACTGAGGGATGGAGGGGCAGGGGTCTGGCTCCTACCGGCTGCAAAGATGTCGTTGACAAGGTTGACAGTCTTCTTCTGGGGCATGAGGCCCCCACTAGCTCTGGAGTTATCCTCGTAGTGCTTGAACAGGGCACCTACGATGTCCTGGACTCTGTTCTGAGGGGGCACAAGCTTAGGAGCACCCCAGCACTTCTGGGGTGGAAGTCTGGACCTTGCCCCATCCCATCTGGCACTGCCAGCTGGCCTCTGGGCAGTGGGTTGAGCTCACGACAGGAGCTGGTAGCAGCCCAAGGTAGGGCTTAAAGTATCATTTCATGCCCCATTGACCCTTCCTCCCAATAACCCCAGGGGTCCAATTTCAGAGAAGGAGGTTGGGGTGAGTACAGGGAAGTAAGGTGACACCCGAGCTGGGAATTAGTCTCTGTCAGGGTTCAGTTTCCTGCAGAACAAAAGCCTTCTCATGATAACAGCACCCCACATTACAGGGCTCTGCCAGTGCCCCATTCACGACCTTATCTCTCTGGGGCTTTGAGCAGCCCTGAGAGGGAGGCTATAAGCATGAAGAAACTGAGGCCAGAGAGGGAGAGGGCTTGGCTCCAGGTCACACAGGTGATCTGAGATGTCCCAGAGCCTTCCTAGGCCTTGGCTACACACCAGGTGTGTGGGTACCTTGGAGCTGGGTAAGAGGGGCCACACACAGACTCTTGGGTGCCCTCACACTACCCGTACCCTGGGCTTACCTTGTCAAAGTCCTGATAGCACTGCTGGACCATTTTCCACAGGAACTGCAGGAACCTTTGGTTGAAGCTCTTGTACTTTTGCAGAGCAGGGCTGGGCAGGTATTTAAGGAATGGGAAGAAGTCCACGGGGCTCCCGGAGGAGGCGATCTCCACGAAATCATGGGTGTTCCTCACAAGGCTGACCATCTCCTCACTGCTCTGGGGGAAGTGCTGCCCGAAGCACATGGCACCAATGACCTTGGCCACAGACACCACCACGTAGTCATAGGGGTCAAAGCGCCCAGGTCCTGCCATCAGCTCCTGGAACTTGCTGATGAGGGCCTCAGCCTCCTTGCGCACATGCATCTCCAGGTAGCAGGAGGATGAGGAAGCCGGGTCTGAGGCAACGGAGAAGGAGTTGAGAGCATTCTGGGCCAGGCGTCGCCGGGCAGCCCACACTGGTCCAGAGTCTGGGTTGAAGGTCATACTCTGGCCATCAGCGACTAAGGTGAAGCTGTAGAGGTCAGGCCGGCCCTTGAAATCATCACCCTGCCGCACCAGGGCCTGCCGGATGGTGTCCAGGCCGCTGAGCACCAGCACGGGTGTGCAGCCAATGCGGATCTGCAGCACGTCTCCATAGCGCTGGCTCAGCCGCGACAGGGCCAAGTGTGGGCTCTTCCCCAAGGTCAGCACGTGCCCGATCAGGGGCCAGCTCCAGGGCCCTGGTGGACTCTTCAGGCCTTTAGGGACCCAAGGCTGCCAGGCCCTGACCACCCAGAATACCAGGCAGAAGGTGGCAGAGGCCAGGAGAAGCTCTGTGGCTGAGAAGGGAGTGGCCGGGGACAATGCCATTTGTACCAACTACAGGGGAAGAGAACGGAGGAGCCAGACTGAGGGACGAGATAGAGCCACTCATTCATTCATTTACACAGTCAATAAGCACTTGTACATGTTCTGTGCTTGGCTCCCAGCTGGACACCAGAAAGACTAAGTTGCATTCACTAAATTACATGAATCCTTCATCCCAGGAGCTCACCCATGGTGTATCACAGAATCTGAGTGCTGGGAAAGAGCCCTGAGATTCCCAACTTGAGCGTCTGAAATCCCAGCCCTGGCCATCCCCTCTGCCCGTCACCTGTTACCAATTCTGAGGCTGAAGTGATCACTTCAAAACGGAGCACTCTTGTGGACCCCAGTGCAGGGTGTATGCTGGGCATTGTACAGTGGGGACCCTTCCAGCTGATACCTCCTCATACCCTGGGAACAGGGAGCTGCTCCCCTCTAGCAACACTGATGGGATCAAGGCCCCAGGGCTGATGCAAATGGCTTCTGATGCCCCCTTCCCCAGGGCATTCTTTATCAAGACCAACCAGGACACCTCCTCCAAGGACAAGTCCCCATTCTCTCAATCTTTTTTTTTTTTTTTTTTGGCTGCGCGGCACAGCATGTGGGAATCTTAGTTCCCAAACCAGTGATCAAACCCGTGCCCCCTGCAGTGGAGGCGTGGAGTCCTAACCACTGGACCACCAGGGAAGTCCACCCCCCTGCCCCATCCTCTCACAGTCTGGAAGGCTGAGGTTGGGCTGCAGGCAGGGCCAGGGCTGCCCTCATGCCAGGTGGGGAGCCCTACCCACCTCTTCAATCCAGTCACACTAAGGGTCCTTAGAGGTGGCCCAGTCCAAGCTTCTCATTTAAAAATGGGGAAACCGAAGTCTGGAGCTGGGCAGCAAGAACTAGAACTCAGGACTTCCCTGGTGGCAGAGTGGTTAAGAATCCACCTGCCATTTCAGAGGACACGGGTTTGAGCCCTGGTCCAGAAAGATCTCACATGCCGCAGAGCAACTAAGCCCATGCGCCACAACTACTGAGCCTGCGCTCTAGAGCCCGTGAGCCATAACTACTGAGCCCACGTGCAACAACTACTGAAGCCCGAGTGCCTAAAGTCTGTGCTCCTCAACAAGAGAAGTCCCTGCTCGCCGCAACTAGAGAAAGCTCACGTGCAGCAATGAAGACCCAGTGCAACCAAAAAAAAAAAAAAAAAAACCAGAACTCAGGCCTCCTACACCTAACCCAGTGTGTTCCCCCGTATCCCTCCATCTCCACTGGGTCCCAGGATATTTGATGGGGGATCCCAAGGGCTAAGAAATGAGCCCAAGAAAGATACCTGTAGAGGCAGGTGCTTGAGATCAGCAGGAGTGTGGAAGCTGTTACAGAGCTTCTGGCTCCGGGTGAGTGGCCTTTCATAACTACCACCCCAATCAGGTTGGCCTTGCTGTCCTGGTCACCTGATACCAAAGTCACCAAAAAAAGTTGAAAGGATCAGCTCTTGGCCTTGGGCCATGATCCCTCAGCTCCACCTACCTCCTAGGGCCCAGGGGCAGCTCTTCTGGGGATAGGTGCTATGTCCCTGGGGTGGAATGTCCAGCTCCTTTCAGGGTCCAGAGTCTGGAGGTAATGCTTATTTCTCTCAAGGGCAAGGCAGGGTGCTGGGAGTGAAAGTTCCCTGGGCTAGTCCAACCTGCTTTCCCATTGTACCCACGAGGAGGGACCCTGCCTGGGGGCACTCAGTCCAGGCTGATCAGCGGGGGAGACTCACTGCTCCTCTCCAGAAAGGTGCCCTGTAATACCCCTCCAACAACCTGTGAAACCAGATAAGAAATAGGTATGTTCTGACCACCTCTGAATTTCAGCCCGGATCCTTAATCTGAAAACAAGAAATGATGAGGATCCTACATCCTAAAGAGAGGTCTCTTCAACCTCCTCCCTCTTTGGTGAGAGATGGTAAAAGTGAATGAAGAAAATTTATGCTGTGGGGGCATAGCAACTGGCTTGGAATCTTCAAAGTGGTCAATGTCATTAAGAAAGAAAAAAAAAAAAAAAAGACAAGGCCTTTCCTAGAGCAAAGAGACTAAAGAGACAACCAAATGCCAAAAATGTGTGAACGTTGATTGGGCCCTGGATTTATTTAAAAAAAAAAAAAAAAAAAAAAAGACAAGGCCTTTCCTAGAGCAAAGAGACTAAAGAGACAACCAAATGCCAAAAATGTGTGAACGTTGATTGGGCCCTGGATTTTAAAAACTTTTTTTAAAGCTACAAAAGACATTTTTGGGACAACTGAAGCCACATGAACAAGGACTGGAGATTAGATGATATTATGGAATTAATGTTAATTTTTTTTGATATGAGCCTAGCATCATGAATATGTGGGAGAATATTTCAGGAAATATTCTTAGGAGATTAATGTTCTTAGGAGATGAATGCTGTAGTGCTTAGGGGGTGAAATATCATGATTTCTGCAACTTACTTTTAAATGGTTCTGTTTAAAAAAATGTACATCTATCTGCGTATCTCTATAGAGAGGAGAGACAGAGAGTAGATATGACAGATGTCAGCTATCTAAGAACCTACGTGAAGGTACGTGGGTGTCCACTGTATGAAAGGGAGCTTTGAAGTGGAGGGCTGGCTGTTGTTTGCTAAGGAGTCCCATGGTGCCTCTCTCCTCCCTCATCTCACAAAGCCAAGTGAAGGAGCTCCAGGAGACCCAAACCTTAAGAGTGGGATATCTGCAAGAAGGGAACTCCTCAGCTGTGAGTCCAGATGGGTTGGACCGCGGTGAGGGAGACTGTGGCATTCGTGTATTTATCACAGACTTTACAACACTCCATGCTTATGGGTCGGCATTGTTATAAGAGCTTTATATCTATCAACAAAAAACATTCTCAGTAATCCTATGGGATGGAAATTAATACTATTCTCATATTACAATATGAGGGGTAATGAAGGCACAAAAAGTTATGTAATTTGTTGTAGGTCGCATAGCAATGTGTTAGAGTTGGGCTCAAACCTTCAGAAGATTGTGCTCCAGACCATATGTGCACCTGCTTGACACGTGTCCTTGGATCTGGGGGAAATGTGTGGACATATGGAGGCAGAGCAGAGTAGCCTGTCATGGCAGAGGCAGCAGAGGGCAGCCTGCACAGCTCAAGTTGGGTGCCTTACTAGGATGTGAGTCTCCGAAGGGCCAGTGTCCATGCTGAAGGGAACTGGACTTGAACTGCATGGACAAGACCTGGCTACAGAGGGGTGGGAAACCCCGCAATGACAGGCTATTGGGGGTACCCTGCGGGAACTAGCTGAGCGGTGGACAAGAGGTCAGCTGGAGTCCAGCAGCTATGTTAGGAACTGTGTGATGTGGAGGACACATTGGGGCTCAAAGGTACTTGATGAAAAGCTGGCAGTGGAACGTCTACTACATACAAGGGCATTCGGAGCTAAGAGGGAAGATAAACAGCACCAGCCAAATAAAAAGGGTTTGGTTCCTGGAACTTCCCTGGTGGCACAGTGGTTGAGAGTCCGCCTGCCGATGCAGGGGAC